AAAATAATGAAGAAAAATAATGATTCTGAGAAAAATAATAAAAAATATGCGTATTTCTTCAAATCTGCTTTTATTCACTACTAATTAGAAATCTCCTGGAACCTACCATATTGCGATCGTTATCCTTATAAATGGGAATCCGCGTGCGGCCCTTCGCAGCAATTGTTTTCAGAAGCGCTTTGTCAATAATGCTTTCGTCGGAGAGCATGAAGATCTTATCGATGGGTGTCATCACCGTTTTAACAATCTTTTCCGGTAAATCGAATGCCGCCAAAACCAAATCCGTTGTATCGCCACTCATTTTCTCGAGTAATTTCGCTGCAGTGAGAGATTATTGCCGTCGTTATTGCTATTTATAAGTACAGCTGCAGAAACTAAGGAAATGTCAAAAACTTTCCGGTAAAAGTAAATGAGATATGATGATCTAAAATGAAAGATTTGATGAAAAATTTCACGATCTCAGCGAAAGAGAGATAAAATCAGCTGGGTAAGCTGAATTGCAGAAAAAACCTGCTTCAGCAATTGCAACAGTAAAAGCTAAAACTTCCGATTTGACATGAATAAAGGCTGAGGGAAACAGAATGCATTACTTCATCCTCACTTCCTTATTTTTACTTTCTGTCCTCATTTTATGAAATCGAAATACTGACTCACGTTTCATTCAGAACTTTTTCGCATTTTCCTTAATGTTTTACGCAAAAAAGTGCAAAATTTCTACGATGATACGAAAACTTACCTTTGTAATCTCTCTGCATGGTAATCATTGCGCGTAGTGTTTTTCGATCATATACATCACGACTTTCTTTGCCAACAGTGCAGTCCAGTACAAGTGAAAATGGAAAGGAAATTGGCGAAAAAAGTACCATGAAAAAAACTGTCAAATAGCGTGTTCGGCTACCGACGCTTAGGCCATGCCTGAATTTTATGTATTATCAAGTTAGAGGAATGTAGTAGCTAAATCCAGTATTCTACTAAAACCAGTGATGATAATAACTAGAAGGAAGTGAACGTTCATTTTACGACTGGAGCCCGTAAACAGTGGTAACTGCCAAAATTTCAAGGCTGCCAAAATTCCAGCTTGACAGCTTCTGAGGATCTGAAAACTGAAATATGCGAACATATACACAAATACAGATAATCCCCTGCGCGTTTTTGCATTGCATAGACACGAAAATGCATAAAAATAATAAAAATGGTATGATAATAAAAACAAATAATGAATTTTCAAAGAATAAAAAATGCAGTACCGTGCGCAGATGGCTTGTGGAATAATATCACCGATTACCGTAATTATAGCGGTTGGTATAACCAACGACAACATAACCTGAAACAATCAAATATGGAAGGAAAGGAAAACAGTAACATTTCCAAAATCAATGCATTTATCAAACTGTGAAGCAGTGAATATTCTTATTGTTATTTGTTTTCAAAATTTATACCCCAGCCCCTCTGTTTTTTATTTGTCGGTTACG